GGGGGGGGGGGCCAGCGGGTGGCCGTGGCTTCGGTTACTGCTGCGCCAGCCCTGGGAGGCAGAGCACGCACAGGCATCTGCCCCATTTCGGCATTGTTTTCCTGCCGATGCTTTCGATTGCTGGTTTAATTCCAGCCCATTCTCACTTTCTGTCTTGGAAAATCACAAGGAAACTCCACACCGCTCCTGGAATTCTTGCCAGCGTGATTCAAGCGGGATAGAGCACATGGCCCCGGGTTCCCACACAAACAAAGATGTCGCTGCTCTCAGCGCGGTGGCCTCCTTCCTTCCGCCAGCCGGCCCCTACCTTGCCGGGGGGAGTGCGCAGTCTGGGGCCAGCTGGCTTGCCTCGCTCTCCCCCACGAGAAGCCCGTGCTGGGTGCGCCTGGGCTGACGGTGTGGGCTGTTAAGTAAACATGGAGGAACGTCGCCTAGGGGAAATAACCTGGACCCTTCCTACAACCTGACCCAGACTCACTCCCTGTGGTTTTCTAAAGCATGGCCTTCCCACGGTGTCTTACTCGCTATGTGACTAAGTCGCTTGGTGCTTTCCTCTCTCTGTGCCTCAGTTTCCTCATTGGGAAAGCAGAGGTGATAGTGGCCCCAGATCATTATGAGAATGACGTGGGACGTGGCTAAAGTGCCCGGCACAGCTCCAGGGGCTCTGTGAGCACCCACAGCTGCTGACTGGTCCCCAAGACTTGTGTCAGTGTTGGCCCAGGTTCCCCGAGCCCAGGCCTCCCCTGGGCAGCAGGTCCTTGGTCATTAGCCTCCTGACTGTGGACTCAGTTACTCAAGTGTTGAACCCTGAGGGCAGCCCAGTGTTAACTCGCACACCCATCTCGTTCCGAGTCAGGAGCTGAGGCGGATGTGCCCATCAGGCCCGTGGCTGGCCTGCGCGTGGCACTCTGTCGGCCCTCCCCATGGGCTGGTGAGCAGCATTTCAATGCCGGCCTCCTGAGAACATGCTGCCTGCCTAGCTGGAGATTATCTGGTGAAGAGGGAAACGTGGAGCTGGGCTCTCACCTCTGCCGCCCCGAGCTGAGTGACACGCGACAAGTGGCTCAACTCTTCACAGGCTTATGTCCTCGCATGTGGATGGGGTCGACGACCGCGCCTCCACCAAGGGCTGTCAGGAGGATTCGGTGTGGGCTCAAGTGTCAGGGGCTTAGCACGGCTGAGGGTGTGAAATTCAAACAGAGGTCTGTCCCGAAGAGTGGCTTCCTTAACAAGGGAGCCTGTCTCCTTAAGCTTGCTGCTGTCAGACCGCCTTTGTGAGGGCCACGGCCTCCACGGTGGAAGGCAGAGCTGCTTTTGTAACGAGCTTCGCTGCGTGTCACCAAATGGAAAGGACAGCAGGACTGATCATCCCCGAGCTGTCGGGGACTCTGGTCCGGAACCCATCACAGGACAAGACCTCTGGGGTCCAAGGGAAGGTGGCTTACAGGGCCCGGGATGACTAGACTTGAGCAGTGCCTCCGCCCCCACTTCTCCTGGGGCTCAGGCAAGTTCCTTAAGTTTTCTGAGCCTCAGTTTCTGAATCTGGAGAGTGGGGCTAACAGGAGTTCTCTTGCAGAAGGTCTTAGTGAGGCCAGAGAATTACAACTGCACGTCCTAGGGACCGACAGTGCTCTCCCACGCCTCCCAGTGAAGTGGTTACCATGGTCATATCCTCGCTGGACAGGTGGGGAAACCGAGGCACAGAGTGGTCAGTAACGTCTCTCCATCTCCTCATTCATCTTATTTCTTCATCTGCCCCCTCTTCCCTTCTCTCCTCTCACCTCCGCCCCTCTGCACACTGGAACCATGGCTGAACGATACACGTCTCCCCCACCTTGCCAGACCCCCCCCTGCTCTGGGCCTTGGTGCTGCCTCTGTCTGGATATCTGTCTTCTTGTCTCTGCCTGACTCAGTCTTGGGGGTCCTTTAAGGGTCAACTCAGGTGTCTCCTCCTCCAGGCAGCCTTCCCTCCTAGGCACTAGAAGTAGCCTGCACTCACCTGCACCTAGCGGCGGCCATCTGGACGGTCATAAGGGAATACGCTGGCTCTGTCCTCTCTCCCCTGGCATCGCGAGTGTGTTCACAGACACCCCTCCCTCCTGTGTTTGGTGTTGCTCATCCCATGCTCTTCCCTGTGGGCGTGGCTTCCCCACGTCACAGCTGAGCGAGGGCCTCAACTCAGGTGAGTCAGACCACAAAGCTTTTTAGCTCTCCACAGGGCACCTGGTGCTGTATTGCTTTTGACTAGTCTCTTTTCCTGGTCTTTGGCGCACTTAACTGTCCCCAGGGCCCCACGCCACCTAGTTGCTGAATGACTCCTGACACTCAGGATATCTTTCTAGACTAGTAACAGTTAATAACAAAACAAAACACAGCCTCAGAGAAGTCTCCAGGTCCCCATCCTCCTCCAGGGTTTCGGACATGTTCTCTCTGGGTGTATCAGACCTTGAAGAGCAGACCTTCACCCCCGTCAGTCAACGCGTACCCATTCCAGAGCAAGGCGTGGGGGACAGGCTCAGAAAACAGGGGGTCTGCAGGCAGGTCCTTTCCCTTCGAGCTGCGACTTCACAGTTTTGCTTTCCATGGACCAAGAACCAGGGTCCCAACTCTGGGACCCCTGAATTGAACGGTCTTTGGTTTATGCCACGGGGTAGAGGGCAGGGCCTTCTTACCCCCCAGACTCCAGGAAGTTGGGTCTCTGCTGACGGCTGCATGTCTAAGCAAGAAATGAAATGACAAAGCGATTTACAGCAGGGCTCAGAACACCCGTTTTCTCCAGGCATCCCTGAGTTCCTCCTTTTTAGAGCAAAGCCCTGTAATATTAATAAACGACAGAGAGAAGGGTAGAAAAACGACTCTTTAAAAAAGTGAGGATCACAGGGACTAGAGGGACCTTTAATCTTTATTAATGTGGCGCAAGGGGGCCTCTCCTGTGAGCTGTGGGAAGCAGACATCCAAAGCGTTTGCATGGCTTGCTCAGTCCTCAGCATCCCCGGGCGCCTCAGATGACGGCCTGATACTGTGCAGAGTCTAGCAGGACCGCGTCATGGGGACCCGCTGTGTCCTGGGCAAGAACAAGGCAGCCCTAGCCCGGCTCCCATCTGTAGGGGGCTGGAAGACGGAAATTCAGGACACAGGCTGCAGTCACATGGGCCTGTTCTAACCAAGGGCACCGGTGCCCCGAGGAGGCTCGGAAGGAACCAGACTGTCTGTTGCAGGGACAAGCACAAATCATGCCTGGGAGGGGTCACACCTGAGTTCATTAAGGAGCTCATCCAGGGAGCAGCCCCCTCATCTCTATTGGCTGCAGCTCTCCTCTCTCCTGCCTGGCTAGATAGCTACCTCCTGCCTCTGTTCCCCTATGGCTGGGCATTGCATGAGGGTGGCCCAAGAATTCTACAACTTGACATGCGGGCCTCATCCTATCATTTTTACCGAGTCAGTCACTGCAAGGGAAGTTCAGGAGAGGGCAAGAGAACCATAAGTTTTAAAGGAAGGATTTAAGAGCCAAGAAAGTTGCAGGGTTTCTCTCTCTCTCTGTCTTTCTCTCTCACACACACAGGCCCCCACACTGAGAAATGAAGAGGCATATTTTGACGTTTATCCATTCATCTACTCATTCAAGAATGCTTGGTCACCTGCTCCATGCTTAGCACTGTTCTACACGGGGGTCCGGACAGAGTACGATAGCCAAAGTTCTCATTCCCGAAAGCATACAGGGGACTTCAAAATGCTGTGGGATTGCTTTAGGATAAAAGCATGTGGTTATTTTGGTGCAAAACACTTTGAAATACATGCATAGCCTTTTCATAATAAGCATTTTCTGACAACGTTTTGAAGATCCTGTGTGCTCCCTCCAGGGGGGTGCTGTCTGGGTGCTGGGCACATCACAAGCAACTGTCACTCAGGCTGCATTGGAATGCAAAGGGGACGGGCAGGCTTGCACCTCCCACTTTCTCAGCTTCGGGGAGGTTAGCCTGTGCAAGGCCTCATGCTGCGGGGTTTGGGGATCTGGAGCTAGGTGTGAGGCCCACTCCATACACTGCTTGCAGCCGACCACCAACCCAAGCTGAGAGGGATGGTGTGGTCACGAAGGGGGACCCGCTGAAGTGTTCTCCGAAGGCATCCTCTAATTCGATTGTGCTGGCTAGACCGCAGGGTAATAAAATGCAGTTCTCTTATAAGCATCATCTCCTAAGGTTTACAGAATAAGAAAGCCAAATTAAGATGGGGACTTCCAGGGAGAAAAGCATGTGTTTTAGGTGGAAACGCAAAGAGAATAGACCCCACAGAAACCAATTCCTGATTTTATGACTCTGCCCTGAGTGGGGATGCTTGGTGTACTGGGAGAGAGGAGCCCCTACAAGGCTAGGCTGGTGCCTGGAGGCAATTGGTGAGGGCGAGACGTCCCCCTAGAAGGATGCCAGGCAGGGGGAGACAGGCTGGAGAGGGAAGAGAGTTGGGACAGGTGGGAAACAGTGAAGGCTTAGGTGACTCTGGATTTATTTCCACCCTCCTAGCTCCTCTCTAAATCTTGGGCTCCTTCTCCCGCCATCTACCTGTCATGCGCAGCCAGAATGCTTTTTTTTTCTAGCAAAGTAGAGCTTGTGACTGGTGTGGGCCCTGGAGCCAAGCTGACTGGGTTTGAAGCTGGTCTGCCCCTTTCTGTGCTGTGTGGCCCTGGGGAGGTTACTCAACCATTCTGAATAGCCATTTCCTCATCTCTAAGTGAGGCTGAGGGAGCACAGATTCCTAGGGTCATCGTGGGGACTGACGAGCCAATGTGCATGAAATGCTCGTGCCGTGCGTGGCGCATGGTACGTGCTCTGTGGACAAGAGCTGCTGTCATTCTAAATTTGCTCACACCACTTTTCTTTTCAAACCATGGGAGGGAAAACCAAACAAGTCCATTAAAACATGGGCAAAGAACTTGAATAGATATTTCTTCAAGGAAGGTACACACATGACCACTAAGCATGAAAAAGATGTCCGGAGTCATGAATCATCATGGAGGCGCAGACCCAAACCACAGTGAGTGCCACCTATGACCATTCGGATGGCTATTACCAAAGAGCAATAAATAAGTCCAAAAAGGGAGCAAACGTTGATGAAGTCGTAAAGAATAGATCCCTTTTGCACTATTTGTGGGAAAGCGAAATGATACAGTTGCTGTGGAAGACAGTATAGTGTTCCACCAAAAATTAAAAATAGAATTGCCACGTGATCCAGCAATTCCACTTTTGGGTATGTACCCTGAAGAATTGAAAGCAGGGTCTCAAAGATACCCATATTCATAGCAGCATTATTCAGAAGAGCTGAAATCCAACAGCACCCAGTGTTTATGGAAAAATGAATGGTTAAGCAAAATGAGGTGTAGACATGCAGTGGAATATTATTCGGCCTTGAAAAGGAAGAAAATCCTGTCATATGCTACATTGTGATGAGCCTTGATGCCATTGTTAAGTGAAATAGCCAGATAGAAAAAGACAAATACTGTGGAATTCCACTGAAGTATCTAGAACAGTCGAATTCATAGAGCCGGAGAGTGGAGTGGTGGTTTCTAGGAGCTGGGGGTTCAGGGGGGGAAGGGGCCGGGGAGTGCTGTGAAATGGGTGCAGAGTTTGTTTTACAGGGTGAAGAGTTCTGAAGATGGGGTGTGGTGATGTTTGCACACGAACGTATCTGCAATAATACCACCGAACTGTACCCTTGAAAATGGTAAGTCTTACGTTAAATGTATTTTTACCATGTCAAAAGAATTGGAAAAAACCTGTAAGTGGAGGCTTTTCATTGCCCTTAGAGGAAACTGCCCTTCTCCCCCTGGCATTCCCGGTCTCTGCTGGGCCTCCTTGTTTTCTGAATCACTGCTCCCTCTCTCTGTCCTTGTGCTCCCAATGGACTGAATGACCAGCAGCCAGCACCCTCTGGGCCTCACTCTTCCTCCCCACCTCCCTGGGCCTATATCCAACGTGGAATCTGATTGAAGACTCAGTTCCCACCTTGGGAAGAACTTTTCAAGTCCTTTGTTTGCCTTAGAAGTCACCACTGTGTATTGTTTATTTTTTTAAGAGAGATTTTGGCTATAGGGCATGTGCACTTGCTGGAGACACACAGAGAGAGAAAGAGACAAAGTGAAAAACCACCCCCTAGGGTAGATGGCCATGCCACAATCCTTTCTCCTCCACTCTCCTCCTGGGACTTGGGCACACATACACATGTGTCTGATATGAGTTTCAAGCCATTGGATCCAGAACTTGGACCACAGTCACGTGGGAGTCCAGCGCCTTGACCACTATGCCACCTGCTGGCTCTCCCTCTTACCCCTTTATCACTCTGAGCTGTTGATATGACTGTTCTGCTCACTTACTAATCAGGCCCAGGCCTTCATGGTTCCGACCCTAGACCAGCCCGGTACTTAGCACCAGGCTCCGGTCAGTGGCTGCCAAATGGACTAGGCCTTCAAAAAAAGGGGAAGAAAGCCCAGGCCAGGAGCAGCCCTTCTGACCTGTTGTTATTATAAAGTAAGTAAATGCCTAGGCCGTGGGCAAATATTAAGTCCACTCGGGACCTTGAAAGACTGTTTGGTTTATTTCCCTGGTGAAAAGCCCTTGGAGACAAAGAGCTGGGGGAAGGAATGCTACCATTTGCCTTCAAGTTGCCTCTGGAACAGGGAGGTAGAAAGCAAAGGTTCGTGTTTCTCCTTTGAGAAATTAGGTCACTGGGTGTCGTTAAGTGTGCCTTACAGAGCTATGCTAATCAGTTCTCTTCTGGCCTAAATATCTGGTAATTATCTTGGTTTTTGCTTTGCTAGACTTGGCTTCCTAAAACAGTTCATCCACGCTGTTACTTCTCGGTTCAAGATCTTCAAGGATAATATTAACCACCAGCATCAAACAGCAAGCACGCCTTGTTCTTGCCTCATGCCTGGCGCTGTTCTAAGCATTTTCCCTACGTGGACTCTTCAGATCCTCCACAATCTATGAGGCAGGTGAGACTATTAACCCCAGGCTAGAGGGAGGGAGGCGAGGCTCACTGCTTCTGGGGCCCGCAGTGCTGCAACTGATGACTTGGCGGGGCTCTCGACCCCTCTCCCCTGCCTCGCTCGCCTTTCTCTCTTGTGCCCTAATTCTTCCTCCTGGTCTTGTGCAGCCCATGGCCTCCCAGGATGAACCAGAGCTCAGGGTGCTCTGGGGTCCCAGCCTTCTGCGCTCTTGCCCACCTGCGTGAGTCAGGGTTCTCTGAGACGCACAGCCAGCAGGATATTATAGAGATACAGAAGAGGGGATTAGGGGAACTGGCTTATGTGATTACGGAGGCTGAGAAGACCCACGATACGCCATCTGCAAGCTGGAGAATCAGGAAAGCCGGCGGTGCAATTCAGGCTAAGTTCATAGGTCTGAGAATCAGGGGCGCCGATGGTGTAAGTCTTGGGCTGAATCCCAATGCCTAGGAACCAGGAACAGCCATGGCCAAGCGTAGGAGGATAGATGTCCCAGCTCACACACAGTAAATTTACCCCTCCTATGCCCTTGTGTTCTTTTTTTTTTTTTTTCTTTTTTTGGAGAAGTTTTTGCTGTAGGGCATGTGCATTCGCCAGACAGACAGAGAGAGACAGAGAGACAGAAAGCAGGAAATCACCCCCCAGGGGGGATGACCATGCCACAATCCCTTCTCCTCCATTCTCCTCTCAGGATCTTGGGCACGCACGCACATGCGCCTGGCGTGAGTTTAAGTCACCGGGTCCGGGACTCAAACTGTGGTTGACTACGTGGGAGTCCAGCAACATAGCCATTACGCTAACAGCTGGTCCCCCCATGCCCTTGTGTTCTACCTGAGCTCTCTGATTGGCTGATGTCCACATTAGTGAGGAAGGTCTTTACTGTCTCCTGATTCAAATGCTAATGTGTTCCCGAAATACCTGCACAGGCACGCAGGCACACCCAGACATAATGTTTTACCAGTGACCTGGGCATCCCTTAAGCCGGATGCATAGGACTAACCATCACCCCAGAACTAACTGCTCATCTCAGAATGCAGACCTGTGTTGGGTCTGTGTCGTTGAAGGCATGGCTCTTGTTTAGGCTCTGCCGGAGAGTTCTCTCCTGTTGTGCTCGGAGCTCAAGCCACCTGCAGAATGTTGCGTGTGTATTCATGAGTTGCTTGTGTGTACACGCATCCATGCTATCACTCTCCATATTTTGATTATAAAGTATTTGAAACCAGAGCTCAAGGCTCCCTCCCTCTGTCTGTCTTACCACTTCTATGGAACACTGATGTAACTATAAGATTCTGCTTACAAACTTCATTCATTCAAAACATCAACAGCAAACACTTATTAAACACCTACTGTGTACCCGATACTGTGCCCAGCCCTGGATGCAGAACTGGAGGCAGATTGTTGACTACAGGGCAAATGGGGGAAGAGAATTAGGGAAAAGCCAATAGATTAGTGCCAGTTCACCTTTTGAAACTCAACGCTCCACAACCCCCTTTTGACCTTACACGTTAAGTTGTCAATTATAAACAAAATGAAATATTAAATATAAACATAGATTACAGTTTAACATCTTCTAACTAGTTGTCATGTTCAGAGGAATCTATTTTTAACTTTGTATCTTTATAATCCGACAGTCTTGCTGGGCTGTTATGAAAATAATGATTATCGTAATTGCCAAATAATTGCCCTTTGGTCATTGGCTTCACTTGCAATGGGTTTCATGTCCCAACGCCCTCTGAGGGCAGGCCTTGTCAAACCTGTTTCTCTGAAGAAGAAACCAAGGCAGAGAGTTTTAAGTCATTTGTCTAAAGGGCAGGGCAGCCAGATCTGCAAACCAGGTCCAAGGGCTTTATTCTTCCCTCATCTAACTTCTCTCTATTTCTGAAGTTCTAAAATGAAATATATAGAGGGAAATGGTTTGACCTTGTAGTAATATATTTTGTATAAGATCCGAAACAAATAAGTGAAAATTAACCTGACAATCTCCTAGCAGGCTAAAAAATACCGCTTGGTGCTCCCCTTCGATTTGACCGCCATAATTGTTCCACTCATTGACAGTTGATTGGTTTAAATAATTCATATCCCATCGTGAGGCCTATTGCTTCGAATTGGCATTTGCTTGATGAGGACTGTGACTGACAGGTGATTGCAGGCTGAAATGTTCCACCGCACAAACAGAACGGCTCCAAACTGTCACCTCTCCCCACCTTCGGCATCTCGAGGCAAATCTGTGTATTAGGATCTCGCTCTTCTGGAAAATACTGAATCTTCAACAAACAGCCTTCTGGGTGCCTGAACATAGGCGTCTTTCTTGTTGACCACAGAGAAAGTGTGGACCTTGCTTTCTGGGACACCTGAGGGCATTGTGCTCTAAGTGACAGCCCGGCCTGAAGCTCCATACCTTGAGTCTGTATGATACCCCTGCCTCCCTGGTCTCTGTGGTAAGGGCTCCCCCTACCCTTTCAGGCCTACTGGGGACCCAGATTGCTTGCTGTCTAAGGGGAACTCTGGTTTCCTCCAGCACCTTGCTCAAGAAAGGTCGTGGGCTGGTGGGCCAGTGACCAGCCTTTCTGAAGGAAGAGAGGAGAGCGGTAATGAGGGATTAGGGATGGGGTGAGGTGGAGGGGATAAGACAAAGAGGAGGAATACAGAGTAACTGGAAGAGACAGGCCACACTTTCAGACAGGGGAACGCATTTCCTCGAACGAACCTGGGGCAAGAGATCCAAGGTGACCACAGACCTAGTGAGTCTGGGTTGCCATAGCGATACGTGCTGGGAAAGTCTGGAGGGGGCTCCTGTGGGTTCCCCTTTGAACCGGGGTGGGAAGAGATTGGGATACTGTAGGCACGAGGTCTCTCCCACCAGGCTGGCTTCAGCGTGGCTTTTGCAGAGAACAGTTCCTCTAATTACTCCAATTACCTGGGTCTTAGAGTGTTGGATCCCCCGATCTTGTTCGAGTGACCTTAAATTTGGGAGCAGTTTCAGTCCTCTTCTAGTTCTCTGTTCCTGAGGTTAGTCCTCCCCCTCCTCCAGGCTCCCCACACATCCCAGCTGCCCAAGCATCCCCGACCCCGTACGATATTGGATTTTCTCAGGGCGACGTTCCACTCTAGACCTACTTGAACCAGACCTGGGCTGAGGGGTGCACACTGAAGTTTATGAAGCAACAGTGAGGACTGGAGGCCTCGTGGGCTAGGGACAGGGTCTACTTTGCTGACTGTTTTCATCCCTAATCCAGGGCTGGACTTGTGACAGGACTGTCACGGGTATGTGTCCAGGGAGTGGACTGATGAAGCTCTGAGAGGACAGAGACAATGAAGGCGGGGAAGTGGTCCAGCGAAGAGAAAAAAGGTCGTCGGTCAATCTAGGCAGGATTAGGACAAGATGGAAAGACTGGGATCGAATTCTCTGAACTCTCAGAATGTCAGGACTGTCTGTAGAACTTCTTGTAGCCTATCTATGAAAAAACAGCTTACAGGACACACACATTGATCTCTTACAAATTCTTCAATGCTGCGGAACCAGTGTCTGCAGGGAGGGACCACTCGTGTGGAGGGAAGCTCCCGGGCCCACACGGAGATGGAGAGGCAGGTGGAAAGGGAGCGAGCAGATGAGAGCCAGAGCCCTTCTGCCACGCTCATCACTGCCCGAAGGGCCAGGGAAGGTGACAGCAGGGGAGAGAGGGCTTGGCCTCTTTCTCCAGAGGTTCCAGGCTCAAGCCGAAGCCCTCACGTGGTAGAGCTCTTTACAGTTTACAGAGCACTCGCATTTTCACATACGTAGTCTCTCTTTGTCACTTCCCAGAAGTGAAAACATCCAGGCGGGCGGGAGAGGTGGCGGTGAGTGGGAAAGTGCCCGCAAGTGAGGGCACGGAGCGATCCGGAAACGGCGTGAATCTCGCTGTTGCATGTGATCACTGGTGGCCATGGGCGTGGGCGGTGGCAGCCGTGTCCCTCCCTCATGACGTGTCTCATGCCTGGCCAAGTCAGTCCCGGCGACTGAACTGCCCGGCTGGGTCCCTGCCCCACAGCGCGAAGCTGCAGGCTGATGTTGGTCCTGGCTGATGGCGCGGGGGGTGGCTCAGGCCCGAGCTGCCATCTGCACTGCCCCGCTGCTGAGCAGAGGCATGGGGAGACCTTGGGGAAGTCGCCTGGCCCCTCTCTCTCCCGCTTTGTCGGCATGGACTGGGGATAAACTCATTCCATTCTCATTTAATTCCTAAGACGTGCCCATTTCCTAGATGGAGGCCCTGAGGCCTCGGGCACTGGATACAGGCCATTGAGTGCCAGGCCTGGTTCTTACCCTCTGTGCTTTGCTGCAGGGAAGGGGGACGCGGGGACTCAGAGAGCGCCAGAGGTTGGATCCCCTCTCTCTGCTAACTGGCTGTGTGGGCTTAAGTCAATCACTCATCACCCTGAGCTTTAGTTTGATTATAGTGCCTGCTTCAAAGGGTTGTCACGAATATTAAAATGAGATAAAAAAGCTAGTCATTTAGAACACAAAGTAAAGGCTCAATAAGCTCTGGCTTCTATTATTCAGAGAGCTGGTGAGAGGATTAAAGAAGGTAAACTATGAGGTGGGTGACCAGTCAAAAATTACCCCTCTTCCCCTCTTCTCTGACCCAATGGGTAAGTAAGTCTGAAGTCAAGTGGGATGGAAGTCCATCCTGAAACACGTGGTCTTCCTTTCTAGGTTGACTTTTTTCAAAGAACTGGGAGTACTTCCAAGATGGCGAGTCTCATTGTTTGGAAAACAGTCCAAGGATCTGTGTCCCTTCGGAAGGGCACGGGGCCTGCTGGGCTCTGTTGGATTCCCAGTGCCACCCTGCCAGGTGGGGGCACACTTGTCAGAGCAGCTCCCGGCTCCCCACGGCTGGACCTGTCTGCCTCCAGCCCTCTCCCTTGTTGCCCCACTCATCCCTGTTCACTTTCCATAGGGAGATACTTGAGACACGGAAAGTAGGAAGAAGATTCCCACTGCTAGCAAAAGCGACTGGAACAACGTGAGCAAGACTGACCCGAGCAGCCACTGCTCTCAGGGGAGCCGCCACGAGCACTCCGCATTCCGCACTGCGCGTGCTAACCCTGGTGGTGACCCGTTACTCTGTGGGCAGCCCAGAGAGGTCAGGGGAGCCGCCACGAGCACTCCGCATTCCACACTGCGCGTGCTAACCCTCGTGGCGACCCGTTACTCTGTGGGCAGCCCAGAGAGAAGCAGCAGATTCGTGTGGCAGGGCTGGTGAGTGGCCATGTTTACTGGGTGCCACTGGCCTGTGTGATGCCAAACCCATTGCTGGTCCCGCTCAACCCTCAGTGGCCTCCCCCAGAGCTACGTTGTGGCCAGGCCAGCCACAGGATGTCTGCGGAGCCGACATGAGTTTTCACAGACAGATGATCTTGCCCTTCCCGTGGCTGTGACCATACAGTTTGCCCTTTGACTTTAACATTTTTTAACTTGCTATAGGGTATATGTGCTTGCCTGACACACACACGGACACACACACACACACGAGAGAGAGAGAGAGAGAGAGAGAGAGAGAGAGAGATCACTCCCCATGGGGTATGACCACACAGCAATTCTGTCTCCTTTTGATTTTGGGGACACACACATGTGCCTGGTGTGATTTTCAAGCCGCTGTGTCTGGAGCTTGAACCGTGCAGTCAGCCACGTGGGGTCCAGTTGCCTTAACCACCATGCCACTTGCTGACCCCAGCCTTTCTTTAATTACTACTGTCTTGGAAGTCCCTCCAAACCTGAATTTTGTTGGCGGCAGAAGCTCTGTCTCTGGTCAGGACTATGACTGTCTCATGGAGAGTAGCATTTGTCACCTGTCACTAATGCAGGTGGCTGCCATTCATGGTATACCCACCTGGCACCAGGTGTACAGCCAAACGGCCCAATTCAGGATCTGTTTGCATGGTAATGTCACTCATTTTGCAAACGAGAAAAGTAAGGCTCAGAGAGGCTAAACAGCTGGCCTGAGGTCAACCAGCTACTTGTATGTTAGCTCAGTTAGTTCTAGAAGCACCCTGTGAAGCACAGGCCTTAGAGCATCAAGCCAAGCCACAAGGACAAAAGCAACGCCTCTGTTTCTCCCAGGTGACACCAGGGTGAGGTTTTGCAGCTGGCTTGCCATTAGAACATTAGGTATTATCTGTTCCCTCTGTTTTGCAAAGGAGAAAATGGAGGCTTCAAGAGGTTAAGAGTCTTGACCAAGGTCACAATGCTCAGAAGTGGAAGAAGTAGACGACCTCCTGCCTAGACTCTCTGTCTCCACCTCCAGTGACGTTTCCTCTATCCCACTGCCTGGGAACATCTGCTGGGTCAACCCCAGTGAGTGCCCTGGAAACACGGCAGGGACCTAATTTCCTTGAGCTGCCTGATGGAGCTGATCTCTCATTCCTTCTAATGTGATGTGTGTGTGTGTGTGTGTTTTAAAATCTTTTGTCAGCACCAAATTCATCTGAAACTGCAGCAAGCATAATACTTCAGTGTCTTCTTTACCTTCTGGTTCTAACAATCGTACAGTATCAAACAGCCTCCGCTTCAGAAGAGAAATAATAATGAATGACTTAGAATAACTCTGCCGAAGAAAATGAATGTTTGATTTGAATTGCAGAGCGAGTGACTTGAGCTTCTCTCGCTCTCATTGCCTGGAGAAGGCCTTCAGAATCTGCAAGCTCCTACCCTCAATGATTCCAAGAGTTGAGAAAAACCAGGGCTGAATGATTTGATCTCAAGGTATATTTACAGGTACCTATTCCCATAATTCCCAAATAGCACCCAAAGAAAAGGAAGCATTGATGTTCCAGTCCCTCCCTTTCTTCTTCAAGGAACCTTAAGCATTTTCTGGTCCAAAGGAAACATGGCTTTCCGACCAGCCTACTGACTAGATGTGCATCTTTCTCTGGTATAGGTCAGAGTGGTCTATAAGCCACAGCAGCCGATTACAAGCTTATCTCATTAATCACTGTGATTCCTGTCAATAGAAGGGAATTCTCAGAAGAAGCCAAAACGCAGATTTAACCACTGTGGCCCTATCCGATCAGACTCATTATAACACCATACATAGGGCCCAAGAGCAGACGGCAGGGCACAGATATGTATTTCAATAGACATACCGCCCCTCCCCCCCGACTCAATCCCCATGGGTGCAAACCAAGCTGCAATGCCAAGAAATGTATACTGGTGTGAGCTGGCCCTGCACTGCTGTCGCCACTGCAATACAGTTCTGTGCATTTAAGACATTTCTCTGAGCGTCTCACCACAGACAGAGTTGTGAATTGCACATTCCGTTTTCGCTTCGAGAACCGTTCTATTCAACCAAGTAGCCAATAGGAGTTAAGTTGATTAATAAAAGTGCATTCCTTTGAAGTATAATTTTGAGCATTGTCGTGGTTTGACTGCTCCTTGATTGCCTGGATTTGAACAAAGCCAGTTTGGAAGCCGCCAAAAATGAACCTCTTACTCGGCTTTTGTTTACCAAATGTATTTTGTGACTGCAAGTCATGCGATGATGCTAGTGGTCGGAGAGCAGAGAGGACTGGTGTTGGATTTGTGGATATGCTGGAACCCAAAGGGAGGGTGGCCGCCTTCCGTCCCAGGTAAAATGAGGCCACGTAAAGTGGTGGAATTGTTACCTCTCCACATGCCAGTTTGGGTTGGCTTGCAAAGTGTGGAAGGATGAATTATACCCTGCTCTGGCTGAGGTTTATGCCACTCGATTTGGGGAGGAGTGGAAAACCTACTTTAAGTCTAATGTTACATGAGGGGAAGCAGCAAGGCAAGGGAACTGGGTGGAAATGACCAGAACCGTGTAGCTGCATTTTTAACCCATGTGGTGCACCAGAGCTGCCTCTCCTCTGCCCCTTCCCGCTGGTCTAAGAGAACCAGCCCGCTCACCAGATCACCTTGCACCACCCTCTTTCCACACGTTCACATCTGACCCAATTCCCCCTCTATCCAAAGACTCGACCCAATTCTCAAGCCTTCTCCCCCACAGTTCTGACCCAATTCTCTCATCATTTCCACAAAGACGTGACCCAATTTACCTCCATCCTTCCCCTGCACATGCGATAACATTCCCCCTACAGCTCCCACACTACAGACCTGACCTCATTTCCACCTCCATGCTAGTCTTTCACACCTGTTCCCCCTCCATTTCCTCGTAATGGACCCGGGCCAGAACTGCTCCCTTCTCTTCCTGCAACCACGACCTCACGCCCTTCTCTGAATGCACCGCGGACACAGCCTCAGGCTTGCGCAGCTGCGTCTTCCCTGCCCAGGTACGTTCGCAGGGGTGTGACCTGCTTCTCCCACCTCTCAGACTCCGCTCGGATTGGATCGTCGATCTCATCGCACACCCTCCTCCCAAGGACACGCAGCTCGTGTCATTGTAGAATGTCACGGCCTCCGACACAGCCAACATTCCCAATTAAAGTTCGCAGCACAACTCAGGGCAGGCAATTACGGCAGCACCTGGCATGGCCAGAGGACACCGTGCCGCTGCCCGGCCTTGAGCTGATATTCAGTTATTAGGTTATTTTTAAAGAAATCATTTTGTTGGCTGCCTATATGTCAGCATTGGGGGATTTTCTTTCTTTTCTTTTTCTTTTTTCTTTTCTTTTAAATGATGTGTGATTAGTTCCTGTGAAGTGTGCTAGACTGACAGTCCGGGGCTAAAGTCCTTAACATGAAAATGAAGAAGCCAATGCGCCTGCCCCTTGCTGTGTCCGTGGGCCTCCTTCAGAGGGTATAGGAGATCGCTCTCCGTGGACTCTTCACTTTTAGCTGATACCTAATTAAAAAATAAATATGCTTCCATGATCACAAATGATCTTTATTTATCCACTAGGAACCAGACTATGATCATTTATGTATTTTATCGAAGCGACTGAACAGTCATCAGGTGACAAGGGCATTGACTACTACAATTTTAGGGGCTAATTTACGTGAATAACCTTGGGGTGGGGCGACTGGTTGAGGGGAGACGAGAGAGGGCACCATTTGGAGCAGTGTCCTAGTTTCCATCACTGTTCACCCCTTCCTCTTACCATCCATTTATGTGTGATAGAGAAAGAGCCAGGCCGGTCTTCCCTTTTCTCTAAACTTAGCTGATATGGGGTGACACTCAGGGCAGAACTAGAATTAGAAGTAGTTGTTTCACACACACACACACAAAAGCAGAATTTTTCTTCCGAAAGGAAGTAATGCAAGTGAAAGTTTCAGATACTGTGAAGAACTGCTCCAAATGTTAGTTACTGTTACGGTGACAATCTCTGTTAGCATGACAGCCACCGCCACCTCCATCACCAGCACCTTCACCTCCACCACTGCCACCTGCAGCACCACCACCTCTGCCATCTCCAAAACCATCACCCGCACCTCCACCTTCACCACCACTGCCGTCCCCAGCTCCGCCACCTTCATCATCACCTTCTTCACTCCTACCCTCATCACAACTACCACCACCACCTGCGTCAGATCACGATCACCACCGCCTTTATATCACCACTCCAGCACCACCAGCACCATCACCACCATCACAAGTACCACTGTCTTCATCACCAGCACCATCACACCACAAGTACCGCTGCCTTTATCACCAGCACCATCAGCACCATCACACCACAAGTACCACTGTCTTCATCACCAGCACCATCACACCACAAGTACCGCTGCCTTTATCACCACCACCAGCACCATCACCACCATCACATCATCATCACGACTACCACCTTTATCACCATCATCACCACCATTATCACCACCACCAGCAACCTGAGCACGATTGCCACCTTTGTTGTCACCATCATCATCCCCACTGTTACCATCTCCAGCAACCACTCCCTTCATCAACACCACATCTGAGCAACTCTGATCCTGACCTTTTACCTGTCAAATTCTTTTCTTCTATCAACTTCTTCTTTTTGTAATTTGCTACAGGGCTCATGGCCTGGGAGGGGAGAGAAAGTGAGAAGGCATTCCCTAGGGGGATGACCACACAGCAATCTCTTCTCTGCTCTCCTCTTGGGATTTTGGGCATGTCACACATACACGCCTGCCATGATTTTCAAGCTGCCAGGTCTGGGACTTGAACCATGTGGTT